TTGTAATATATAGAACGGTAAGATCCAGAACATTGTAATATATAGAACGGTAAGATCCAGAACATTGAAGTATATAGAACGGTGAGATCCAGGACATTAAAGTATATAGAACGGTGAGATCCAGGACATTGAAGTATATAGAACGGTGAGATCCAGAACATTGTAATATATAGAACGGTAAGATCCAGAACATTGAAGTATATAGAACGGTAAGATCCAGAACATTGTAATATATAGAACGGTAAGATCCAGAACATTGTAATATATAGAACGGTAAGATCCAGAACATTGAAGTATATAGGACGGTGAGATCCAGGACATTGAAGTATATAGAACGGTGAGATCCAGGACATTGAAGTATATAGAACGGTGAGATCCAGGACATTGAAGTATATAGAACGGTGAGATCCAGAACATTGTAGTATATAGAACGGTGAGATCCAGAACATTGAAGTATATAGAACGGTGAGATCCAGGACATTGAAGTATATAGAACGGTGAGATCCAGAACATTGAAGTATATAGAACGGTAAGATCCAGGACATTGAAGTATATAGAACGGTGAGATCCAGGACATTGAAGTATATAGAACGGTGAGATCCAGAACATTGAAGTATATAGAACGGTGAGATCCAGAACATTGAAGTATAGAGAAAGGTAAGATCCAGAACATTGAAGTATATAGAACGGTGAGATCCAGAACATTGAAGTATATAGGACGGTAAGATTCAGGACATTGAAGTATATAGAACGGTAAGATCCAGAACATTGAAGTATATAGAACGGTAATCTCCAGAACATTGAAGTATATAGGACGGTGAGATCCAGAACATTGAAGTATATAGAACAGTGAGATCCAGAACATTGAAGTATATAGAACGGTAAGATCCAGAACATTGAAGTATATAGAACGGTGAGATCAAGAACATTGAAGTATATAGAACGGTAAGATTCAGGACATTGAAGTATATAGAACGGTAAGATCCAGAACATTGAAGTATATAGAACGGTGAGATCAAGAACATTGAAGTATATAGAACGGTAAGATTCAGGACATTGAAGTATATAGGACGGTTAGGATTGAGTGATCCTTCTTCTTGAGAGACAACTTCGTGAACACACGGCAAGGAATTCCTGAACACAATATTCTGATGATAATTCTAGTCAATGTAAGTCTGAAGACGTCATATATAGAGAGAATAGTTTTCTTTCATTACAATACGAACATATTTCAATGGTTCAAATGGTTGTCATATTATAACTTCTACATATTCCAAATGAGTACTCGCAGTATTGTACCATGAGAATCACGGTTATCAAGGACTGAATTCTAACACACCAGTTGTTTATAAAAGTAGAAAACATTTCTACACTGCGCTTTAAATACTTTAAAATTGCCTGGCTAGTTGTGTTCTCAGGTAGAGGTTGGGTTTACGCAAGAAGAGCGGAGCCATAGGACTACTGTGGAACTCGAGTAGCCGACCAAACATCGGAATCAATGAATGGTTGTTACAGCATTAGACAAATACCTTTTAATAATAAAAAATCTGTGGCACTTCCTTTTAATATCTTTAGTTAATATACACTCATGGACAAAACTTAAAGAAGTTATACCTTTTAGCATGTATATCGGAATTCAGACAATAACTATGAAAGAGATTTGATACACAGTTGCTTTTATTGAAGACAAACGATATAACACAGTGTGAACAATGTGCTTCCTCTGTCTCCTTAAAAAAAACGACCGGCGACATAAAAAGTTTCCCACTTCTTTAAGTTGCCCATGAGTGTAAACACCATTTTGACCACATTTTGAAGCTTTTCGCATTATCAAAAATATTTAGACTGGGTTGATAAATTGTTAGGGAAAATATTTTTCCTCCATGTGGAAAATGTAATCGCCAGATCTCATTGAACATTTATAAAATTGCGTTGTTAAAAAATCCGATAAGTTGAAGGATTTGAAATGAACGCATCAGCGAATGGAGAGAAAGAATGATTTGAAAAATTCGCTCAATTGACAACTCAAATGTAGGATAGATGTAAATTAATTTATGTGGTATAGGTCTAAAAGATAATCTGTTTACATTTCAACCTAAAATAATTAATGCTTAATAAGAAATGTTCACTTTATGCATACTAACATCAGTAAGTTGTTTCATATCACAAAAACTAAAAATATTTAAATCATGTTTCCTACTTATTGAATTATGCGATTTATTTGTATTCTCTAATAAGTTAATTTGGAAGTTTATTTAAATAACTTGTTTGTTCTCAACCACTTTATTATGTACCGCTCAAAAAGAGCAACCTAGTTTATGATAATTGCAACAATGAATACTATGTGAAGGTTATTCACAAATTAAACAAAATGTTAACGCGGGATTCGATCCCGGTTCATGACTGTCGGGAATCGAGGGTGTTACCCACTCATCCACTGACTCTTTTTCATTTAAATAATATTACAATGTGTATTTATGCACATTAAGACAATACATTAAAAATGCAATATGTGTGTTTATAAATATAGTCACATAATTACACATTCGCTACTGATCACGCTTCAGCACGTAATATGGGACAATGCTGAGGAGCCAATCACGCTCTCACACACGAAAAGCTTAGTTATGGAAGTCTTAACTTTTCTATTTATCAACAAAACTCTGATGGTCGGCTGGAAAATTACAATACAAGGTAAATAAGCAATGAAGAATTCATCAAATGAAATAAAAATATTTGCATAAATATAACTTTTAATAAAATATATTAAATTTGCACCGGCGTCAAAAAATCTACCAAATACAAGGTTCTGTATATGCGTAATATATCAATGTTTTGAACTTAATGTGCCTATGCACAACGCTACAATGAAATGAATATTATATTGACACATTAATATATATATTAATCGCATTCTCTCTATATATGCATATTATAACAATGTATTAAATACAATGTCTATTTATATTACAACAATATATTAAATACAATGTCTACTTATATTATGACAACTTATTAAAAATGTATATATGCATATTAAAGTACGTATATTAAACACAATATATATATTTAACCTTTATTAAGAATACAACATATCTGGATATAAATTCAATAGGGAATTACATTATTTTGGAAGCTAAGGTTTCACAAACGCAGTTACTGCGCCCCCGTGAAAAGTAGCTCCCTCGACAGAGTTGGTTCGAGCCTATGTGAAGCACATCTATTTATCTCAGTCTGATCAGAATGTTACTTGCGTCCAATCCTTAAATAGCACATTTATTTACTCATCGGGAAGTTTGGGTCTCCTCAATTAACCTTGTTAAAATTGGAATTCTCCCCTATTTACAAATCGGAAATTGAAAAATTAGCGAAATATATAAAATACAAGATATCTTTCTCTTTTAATATATTTTATGTTGTTTCATTTTCATCTAAATATATATTTCAGTATAGAAATATATGTTAAAAATAATTTATATATTCCAAAATTAATACTGTATACCCTTTTCTACTAATTCCCATAAAGGTATAAAATATCAAGTGGAGTTGTATCTAGCTAACAACACCTCCCCATATAATTTCTTAGACGTTAAAAGTGTGATTAGATATTTCCTTCATCACCTGAGATAATGGTTACATACATTTGGGGTAGCATGCAAAATATCTTAAAATTGTAAATCGCAACTGGATACGGTCACTTGATGAATAGTTGAGGAAGATGTTCTCATATGACGTACTCGTACGATGAGAATTTAAGGGGATCATTGAGCATTATCCAGAAATCCCGTGTGGATATTATGGAATAAAGTCCGCCCTAGGCTAACGAGGGCCATTAGCGCGAAACTATGGTCTCTAGGTAGACGCTTCTCAGTTTACCAAAGCTGGTGTTGTGGCTTTGTCGCCGACTCAAGGCTGCTAGTTTGCAGCGACGGTCAACAGATGGCGTCTAGTTTTGACGTTTATTTTGACGGGAGAGGCGCCCTGTGCTTTTATAGATCAATTTCCTCCCGGAAAAATGTCCATCTATATATATGTACGTTCATCACACAATAGAAAGTTTTAAAAATGAAAACCTCACACAAAAAGGCATATATTGATCAGCAGTATTGAAACTTATATAAATGCGTTGGAGAACTATAAAAGAAAATTTATAATATATATATATCGCCAAATTCTATTAACTTATATTTCAAAGTTTGGAGTATTGTACCCCGCACGTTTTCACTATATAAATGCGAATGAATGATCGCTTAAGAATGTGTTAAAAGTTTTACAAGCTCATTTCTTTGCAATCTGTAATGTGCAAAGAATCAACTGAATCGTATCAAAAGCCATTTTTAAATAGATCAACACTAATTATATCAGAAGTACAGGGTTACAGTGAGGTTTGATAGGAAGAACTCTAGAAACTTGAACGGATCGCGCTCTGCCACAATCCCTGTAGTTGTGCCGCGTTATCTGTGACGTCACAGGGCGTGGAGGCGACTGACAGATGATGACGGATGGCCTCACCGACACCTCGCCCGGGCTCCCCGACCGATAACATCACCTGCCCTCCCTCCCCACTTCAATTAATATACCCCGCACACACATAAGTTTACTCAAATCTTCTAAACCTAGGGAATCACATGCATCATCCCTCCATTGAAAGTCATGCACTTATAATTGAGAAAATAAAGTGGTACACACTGCCCTTATTTTCACTTTTAGGCCATTGACTTCACTCTGCAGTATGTGTACGCCTTTGTGGGCTAGAAACAAACTTTTTATCGAATGAGTCATTTTAAAAAGGTTTCACGATAGAGATTGAGTCTTTTTAAAGAAATAAGTTTTAATATTTTTATTAATATTCGCGGGGTTTGCTAACATGAAAGAAACGGCGCTATGTGTCCCGAAATTTCGGCACGACCTATAACTATTTAAAAACGCTACATCAACCAAAGGTTATTTAATTCCCGACGTTTCATTAACTCTCTGTCAGTCTCCACAGGGTTTAAAAACGCTCCTGCCAGGATTTGAACCTGGGAAAACTTCTGATTGGTGATCAGAGGCATTAACCGTTGCGTCACGACAACTATATAAAATATTAAATTGAAAATATATCCACCATACAAAAATCATAAGACGCCGCAACTCATTTTATTTTAAATAAAAAAAGTTGGGCGTCGTGCTTTTTTTTGTAATTTGTCGAAATCCGCGATCCTGTGAAAATGAATACATTTACATGCGTTGCAGAATGTTGTACGATCCATAGTTAATACATGACTAATTACTAGGTGTATTTTGAATTTGATTATGTGAAGAATCCTCAAGCCTCATGGTAAACCAACTCGGTACCGAGTTAACACGCAGAGTTCAACTAACCACCCCTTCACCAGGTAACAGAAACGAATCTAGTTTACAACATCATTCCTGCTCATCCCCCTCCATAGGTGAAACAGGAAAATCTTTAGGAGAACGAGCAAACCCCACATGCCGTTCTTACAAAACAATAGATCACTTGCCTTGCTAGTTGAGCACGCCATCCCGATCACCTTATCCCTAACTGGGGCAACTGCAAAACACTTTACTTTAACAATTCCGTCAAACAAGAAAAAGGGAATTGTTCCGTATTTCAAAATATAAAATTAATTTTTGCTCAAAATTAAATTTTAGCCATAAAAAAATGTGCTTTGTCCTTTGTCATATTTTCATGTATCAAGTGCAAGTGCATCAATGTATTAGATAGACAATAAATAACAAAAAAGTACGTATATAAAAGATAGACAAAAGGAGGCAAGGAGCATTCAAAAGGTAGACAACAGATAGACAAGAAATACAAGTGGCGCAAGAATAATCTCAAACGTAGTGGATAAATCGAAGTGATCGGGAGGAGAGGTCTAATGGGATCCATCCCGTCCTGGGACGGAGCCCCTTGTGATGATGAGATACTCCTTTTACATAAGAGCTTAAACAAATATGAGTATTAGCAGAATTATTTTATTTCAGAGGCAAAATTTAATATTTTTAGACCTAAAAATGGCCTTAAAGGCACACATACCGTCGATATCTCTTAATAGCTTTTGCCTCTATCCTTCTCTTGGCCTCTCCACCTACAGGCGCACAAGAATGCAGACAAGAAAAACCTAAGGTTGCAGTGGATTCACCAAATTGTCGTGGAGCGGAGCCCTTTTGCGAAGCGTGACGTATTGTTTTTTTCTTACGATCAATGGAATTGACGAATATCAATTAAAAAGGCACGCGCTTCCAAAGAGTTTCGCTCCACGACCAGAAGGCGAATCTCCTGGAAAACTTTCGGTTACTCCTATTTACATACTACAGTTAAACCTGTCTATAGCCCCCCCCCCCCCTCTAAATATCGACTTTCTCTCTATAGTGCCCGATTTTAAACATTAAAATGTAAACATATTACATTAAAAGTGACCTGTCTATAGCACCCCCTCTCTATAGCACCCTCTTTTGATGAGTCCCAAGAGGGGGCTATATAGACAGGTTTAACTGTACTTTTAAAAGTATACAACATGGTACGTAGTCTTGCTCTGCGTCAACTAAACTTCTTGTCTGTCTCATGTATACTTCTTGTTTATATATTTTCCACTTTTGTATACTTTCCACTTCTAGTATATATGTTGTCTTCTCTTCTTTTATATACTTATACTAGACGAGTGACCCGGGCAACGCCCGGGTTTTACCCGATTAAATGTTTTATTCAAACACTATTCGTTACAATTATAAATTGGCGCCGTGGATGTCATTCTTGTGTCCTGCTCCAAACTTTACATACATTAGGTCAGCTGATATTACCTCCCATCTTCACCGCTAGAGGCGCTGCTCGCGAGCTAAGTAGAATAATTTGAATATATAGTTTTAATAATTGATTTATATATTTTTTAAAATAGCCTATCGTCTTCCCCGTATTTTTTTACCATGTATGGAAATTTTGGTTTGAATTAGTGAACTACTGCGAATTTGTATACCGGACATACAGACAGACATACAAACATTCATTTTTATATATAGAGAGAAGAGATATAGAAGAGATATAATTTTGTATCTGATAATCAAATATGATACAACAATATCGTCATCATCATTTTCTGAATCCTTATATCTATAAAAATGAAATGCAAAATCGATGTTTGTTATCGCGTTGCGCAAAATCTACTGAACCATTCATTATGAAATTTCGCATATAGGTAGCCGAAGATTTCGTTTAACATATAGGCTATTAAAAATACTAAAAAGGTTAATGTGCTTTTTTAAAAATATATAAAACCAAAAAACTTTAGTTCCAGCCTTTTACCGCTTGGGCGCAGCACTGGTCGCGACAAAAGATGAATTTGATTGGTTAAAAATTTACACGTGGTTTGTTTACACGATGATTGTTAGTTTGTTTACACGATTAATGTTTTTAAAAGGTAAGATTATCCAATCGCCGTGAAACTTTAGGAAGTTATTTACTATACTACTGGGAAGGTTTCTGGTTTGAATTTGATTTGAAATAAATATTCTTTGGAATTCTATTTGTAAATTTTCTACTTTCACTCTAAAGCAGCGCCTCTCGCGGAATCTGGTGAAATTATATTTATAAATTGTAACAATGCTTAAAATGTGTTCCAAGTATAATAAATTTAATTTGAGAATTTGGTAATATAATATTCCAATGACGTAAAAAAACTTGGCATTTTAATATTAATATATATTTAAAGAAAATATTGTAACGATTTTGTGTTAAATGTTAAAATGTAATGTTAAAATATATTTTTACATTGTTAATTTAATTTGTTGTTGTTTTATAATAATGAAGATGCAAATTACATTGTATGTGATGATGATAACAAACATGAATTTTAAAATTAATATATATAATTCATTGATAAAAAAAATTATTTATTATCAAATTCACAAAAGTGACAATATCTTATTTAAAATATAATAAATGTTTTCAAATATTATGCGTTTTTTTTTCAAAAATATATTTAAACGCATATAACAATATTTATATACGTTCATAAATCAATATATAGGTGGATTGGATGTTTTCAAGAATCGTTTTAACAAATGTTCGTTAGGCAAACTTTTACTCGGATAAAAACTGGGCGATGCCGGGTACATTCGCTAAATACAGTTATTTACAAATCTTCGTTTGTGGCAAGATAATATTCCTTCAAATTCAAATTACCGAGTGGACCAATTAATACTGATTTTTTTCAACTTATCGAGTATTTTCCAAGGGACCGGGAAATTTTCCAAATAATTGAGAGTATAGACAAGTATAGATTCAGTAGGGATTGAATGTTCGCTAGAATCGTTTTAACAAATGTTTATTAGGCAAACTTTTACTCTGGTAAAAATCGGGCGAAGCCGGGAACACACATATATATATATATATATGCACGCCCTTAATACGTAACTAATATCGCTGAAATTTGAACAGGACAGAGAGTTAAATCTGGAAGAGCTTTTTGTCGCACTTTTAACCTAGAAAAATTATATTTAACCATGTACTGAGCAACAATTATTTTTAGTCAGAAATGATGATGACAATATTTCTGTTTCATGCTTGATTGACATAAACAAAATTTTTAGGGGAATATTCACTAAAGCAGACCACGGGCGAAGTCAGAAAATAATTTTTCGTAGACAGGAACAAAATCTACCAGCGAAACATTCACTCGAGTAGAAGACACACAAAGCCAAGCCATCTCTATATATAAAATATCGTTTCTCGGCCTTTTGGCAAAGATCATGTAGTATATCTCTAGTTCTTTTTAAAAATCTATTCATTAGAGAGAGGATATGTTTTCTCGAAAAATAAATTTTATATATTATATAAATATAAAATTTAACGAATATTTTTATCATAATTATCATAATATTATGTGTGTTCCGAAATATTATTATCAACTAGCGGATGTACCCGGCTTCGCCCGAGGTTTTACCCGAGTAAAGGTTTGTCTAACAAACATTTGTTAAAACAATTCTCTAAAAACTTATAAAAAAAAGATATATTTTGATAATTTGAAACTCGTAAATTTGAATCTCTCGATAAAGTGAACATTTTTTCCCGGTCCCTGTGTGCCGTGTCATCCTGAATTTTGTCTTTCCTAATTTTCTACATTAGAAAATCATAGTTTTATCTAGTGAACATTTTTTCCCGGTCCCTTGAAAAATACTCGATAAGTTGAATAAAATCAATATTAATTGGTTCCCTCGGTAATTGTAAGTTAAAGGAATAGTATCTTCGCCTTGGAATTGTATCATTATTCTTGTCTCAAATAAATTGCCGTGTCATCCTGAGATAATCTTACTTTTGATAAATGATATTTAAGATAACAAACTTAGTGATAAGAAAACTTGTTATCATCGTCACACTGGGGGCGCTGCTTGCGAGTTAAATCTACAAATCTGCAAATAACTCTAAGGATATTCAAGATATTCATGAAATTATTTTTCAAAAACCTTCCCGGTGATATACCTAATAATATACCAAAATTTCACGGCGATTGGATGTATGGTTTTTGAATCTATAGAGTACAGACAGACAGACATTCAATTTTATATATATATAGATAATATTGGTTAGGCAAACTTTCATTCGGATAAAACCCGGGCGAAGCCGGGTACACACCCGCTAGTAAAAATATATAGTTTTAATAATTGATTTATATATATTTTTTAAAATAGCCTATCGTCTTCCCCGTAATTTTTTACCTATGTATGGAAATTTTGGTTTGAATTAGTGAACTACTGCGAATTTGTATACCGGACATACAGACAGACATACAAACATTCATTTTTATATATAGAGAGAAGAGATATAGAAGAGATATAATTTTGTATCAGATAATCAAACATGATACAACAATATCGTCATCATCATTTTCTGAATAAAAATATATAGTTTTAATAATTGATTTATATATTTTTTTTAAATAGCCTATCGTCTTCCCCGTATTTTTTTACCTATGTATGGAAATTTTGGTGTGAATTAGTGAACTACTGCGAATTTGTATACCGGACATACAGACAGACATACAAACATTCATTTTTATATATATAGAGATATTGT